GTGGGAGGTGGCCGATGCCTCCTCAGCTGAGCTCTGCTGCCTTGAAGATGAGATAGTGTCCTTACCAGAATATCATTCCCATGAATTTATCATGGTCCTTCATATTAGCCTTGCTCCATATACCTTATTCTTGAAATAACCACAGCATGGGAAAAATAAAAAGTTTGAAATGAGAAACAAGACACTTTATATGTATTGCCTTAAAGATGAACTATTATTAATACATACTTTAGATATTTAATAACTGCTTTGAAATTGTATGATAATAATAATTGCTAATATATGCAAGGTACTGTTGTTAGCACTTTACACATAATAAACCATTTTATTCTGGTAACCCTTCTGATGTAGTTATGACTAGTTACCTCATACTATAGATTAGAAAATTGAAGTACAGAAAGGTTAAGTAAGTTGTGTAATGGTGCTCAACTAATTATGTCTATTCCTCACTTACTGATTATCTCATCATCAGACATTTCACATTTATGACAATAGTAAGAATTCTACCATCTGACTAATTTGTGCATTGGTGATGTATATCTGGCAGTAATAAACACTGACGGTGAGAGCCATATTCATTGTGATGGTAAAGGTTATGTGTCAACTTGGCAGGGCCATGATTATCAGTGTTTTGGCAGATATATAATGATGTAATTTGGCATGTATTTCATGATGAAGTTTGGCAATTATGTCATGATGTAGTCATCCTCCATTTGTTATCAATGTGATCTTCCTCCATTGCATAGCAACCTGGTCTTTGGCCATGTTGATAAGTAGAGTTGGTGTAAAATGCCATTTTTTGAACCCAGGGTAGCTGGCTCTAGAATCACTGTGTTATATCTAAGATTCTGTAATCAAAGCTCTACAAGCACATTAGTTAACAGACATTGCTGCCTGGAAGGAACTAGCAGTACAATAGCTAAGATATATGTCAGTGTGACAACTGACAATAGTGACGTGGTCATGTTTTATTTGTAGTAATGATGATAATGGTGGTTGTTTTGAAGGTGATGTGTTAGAAAAGATGGATTACTGTGATATTAATAACACTGTTAAAAAACTCATTGCTATTGAGTCAATTCTGCCTCATAAAGACACTATAGGACAGAGTAGAACTTCCCTCATAGGGTTTTCAAGGCTGTAATCTCTACCTAAGTAAACTGCCTCATCTTTCTTCCATGGAATGGCTAGTAGAGTGTAACCACCAGCTTTAAAGTTCAGAGCTGAACATTTAAACACTGCTTCACCAGGACTGCTTGATATTAACAATAATAATGGTGGCTATTTCATAATCCTCTCCAAATTTTAGCCTCCTTCCAGGACTATAACACCTCATTTCTCATGACAGTGTTGAGATAAATAGTTTCATGAGAGATGCAGTAATTGATATTACTGAAACTTCTGCAGTGAATATGTTTCTTAACACACTTTGTTTTGAATTCTTATAGCTTCCCAAGGTATATAATGACTACCACTGGCAAAATGAAGGGATATCTATCCATCATTATGTCTGAGATGAAAACTTCAATACATCAGTATAACATAGGTCCTATAAACAAATTAAGGAGCTCTGGTAGCACAGTGCCTAAGGTATCTGACTGCTAACCAGAAGGTTGGTGGTTCAAACTCACCAGACATTCTGTGAAGCAAGACTGGGCAATCCAATTCTGTAAAGATTTACCACCTTGGAAACCCAATGGGGGGTCACTTTAAGTTGGAATTGACTTGACAGCTGTGTGCTTGGTTTTGGTTTATGGGCAAATTAGGTGTAAAATAAATATAAAATTTTCTAAGACAAATGGGAGTAGTGGATATCATTAGGGCATTTTATCAATAGATAAGGAAATGTAGTATGCCAGAGAGAATTCTGTAAAATTGCTTAAACTGAATCTAAAATTGGGAATAAATAATAGCTAGAGCTACCTTGACTCCAGATTTTGATGATTTAAGTGCACGTTCAAAATTGGTGTCTCAATTTTGACCTAAGCCACCCTCACATTATTCAACATGCCTGGATAGATCTTCTTTATATAACACTCTTATAATGTTACTCCACTGGTTAAGAATTCTCCATTTGAATTAATAATACCAATTCATTTTAGCTACTGTTATTATTTTGGACTCATTCTAGCATTCATGGATCTTGATAATCTTGTCTTCTTCTCTCCTACACTAAAACTAATCCCTAATATGACACACTAATTCTGATGATATTCAGTCATCTTGGTATACTCAATAACTGATTCTTGCCTTGCTTAACACATTCATTCATTCATTCGAACAATATTTCTTGTTCTTCCATTCCATACCAAGTACTGTGATAGCCTCTGAGAATATAATGGTGTACAAAACAAAGCAATTAAACATAGATTCTTCTTTCAAGTAACTTAGAGACTACTAAGGAAGATAAAGGCATAATTACAATAAGTGTTATAAGTTTGATAAAACAAGTACAAGGTGCTCTGAAAGCACATGATAGATAGTTCTCAGGAAGTCAGAGACAATGGTCTAACAGAAGTATAATTTAGGCTGACACCTGGAGAAATTGGAATAAAATGGTTTTGGTAATGGGGTTGTGGCTTCAGGAGAAGGAAAGGTCAATAGTCAAGACAGATAAAAGCACACTCACAAAACTTAAAAGTGATTAGTATGTCTGGAACATAAACTTTCATGAGGAAGTGCTGAAGGGCATGGGAGTGGTGCCCCCCTCTGTCTTCCTCCAACTTCAGGAAGGGGAGAGAGAATCACCTTCAGCAGCCCAAGGCTTACTCCTATGAGATTAGACATGCCACCACCCTACAATAATACCTTGCTTTTTTACTAACTCTAATAACAAATATCCCTCCCATGGCACTCACTACTTCTCTGCCGGGTTCAATAACTTGGAGCCATGGCTACACAGAACTCATCGACAATACTCACAGTTATGGGGTTTATTAGGGAAAGAACAGGTTACAATTCAGGTTCACGAATGATCAGGACACAATTCTTCAGTCAGGACAACCCCTCAGTCATGTCCAAAGGCACTCCTCTCTTTGGTCCTGGGACTCTCAGCCTGACCTCTGTCCTGCTCCAGCAAGTGTTACAAAGCTCTTTTAGCTCTGCTGATAGATGAACTTCACCCTGCCAGCAAGCCTTTAGCCCAAAGGCACTCAGCTTTCTCGGCCTATAGGCCAGCTGGCCCACTGCTCTGTCTCTCAGTTTCTGGTGCCACCATCATCTCTGCCAGTGACCTCTGCTGGTCATTTCTGTTGGTCATCTCTGCAAAGGAGGTTTAGCAAAGGGATCTTGGCTCCTCTCAACCTCCAGCTCTTCTCTCTTGATGGCATTGAGATTCCCCTTCTGCCTCTAAAAGGGCTCATTTTAAGCCTAGTAGAATGAAAAAACTAACCATTCCCCACATTAGGATTACATATACCTTATTTTCAGTCTCACCTCCACAAGGGCACACATTCATTCATTCATTCAAACAATATTTCTTTTTCTTCCATTCCATACCAAGTACTGTGATAGCCATTACATTACATTAATAATGTAAAAAAATGTAATTATTTACATTATTAGCAAGCTATCCAGTCCCCTTGGTGGACCACAAAAATCCCAAAAAATGAACTTACTGCCATGGAGTTGATTCTTACTCATAGAGACCCCCCCCCCCACTGAATTTCCAAGGCTGTAAATCTTTACAGAAGCAGATGGCCTCATCTTTCTTCCATGGAGTGGCTGGTGGGTTTGAACCACCAACTTTTTGGTTAGCAGCTCAATGCTTTAACCACTGTACCACCAGAGCTCCTTTTGAAATAAAATCTAATAACATTAAAATAGAATTAGACATTTCAACAATAATAGTAGGAGACATCAACACATCACTTTTGGTGATGGACAGAACAACTAGGAAGAAATTCAACAGAGATACAGAAGATCTTAATGCCACAATCAACCAACTCATAAACATATACAGAATACTCCATCCAATAGCTGCAAAGTATACTTTCTTTTCCAATGCACATGATCATTCTCTGAATAGACCACATTTTAGGCCACAAACCAAGACTCAATAAAATCCAAAACAGTGAAATAATCCAAAGCCTTTTCTCTGATCACAATGCTATGGAAATAGAAATCAGTAGCAGGAAGAATAAGAAAAAACAAAATAAAATACCAGTAAACTGAATAATACCTTGCTTAAAAACACTGGGTAATAGATGAAATAATAATAATAATAAATTCCTAGAGTCAAACAAGAATGAAACCACAACATACAAAAACTTTCAGGACCCAGCAAAAGCATTACTCAGAGGTCAATTTATAGCAATAAATACACACACCAAGAAGAAAGGGCCAAAATCAAACATTAACCCTACAACTTGAACAGCTAGAAAGAGAGCAGCAAAAGTATCCCACAGTCATCAAAATAAAGGAAATAACAAAGATTGTAGCAGAAGTAAATGAAACAGAGAACAGAAAATCAATAGAAATCAACAAGACGTGAAGTTGGTTCTTTGGATGGTTCAGTAAAATTGGTAAACCACTGGCCAAATACAAAGGCAGGAGAAAAAGTAAATAATCCAAATAAGAAATGAGATGGGTCACATTATAACAGAACTAACAGAAATAGAAAAGGATCATAACAGTATACTATGAAACAGTATACTATACTATGAAAAATTGTACTCAGACAAATTTGAAGACCTAGAGGAAATGGACAAATTTCAAGAAACCCACAGCCTATGAAAACTAACACAAACTGAGGTAGAAAAACTGAAAACACCCATAACAAAAAGAGACTGAAAACGTTTTTTTTTTTTAGAAAAAAATCCCAGCAAAATTAAAGCCCTGGTTCAGAGGACTTCACTGAAGAATTCTACTAAATATTCAGAGAAGAGCTCACACCAACACCACTAAAATTATTTCAGAGTATAAAAAAGGAAGGAATACTCCCAAATTAATTCTATGAATCCATCATAACCCTCATACCAAAACCAGGCAAAGATAGCACACACAAGGAAAACTACAGATTAATAGCCCTCCTGAATATAGATGCAAAAATTCTCAACAAAATTCTAGTCAATAGAACTCAATAGCATATCAAAAAATAATACTTCATAAACAAATGGGATTCATACCAAGTGTGCAAGGATGATTCAACATTAGAAAATCAATTAATGAAATCTGACACATAAATAAAATAAAAGAATCACATGATCATCTAAATCACTGCAGAAAAGGTATTTGCTAAAGTCCAACACCCATTCTTGATTAAAAAAAAAAAAAAAACAAAAACTACTCTAAACAAAATAGGAATAGAAGGGAAATTCCTCAACAAAATAAAAGGCATTTATACAAAACCAACAACCAGCATTATTCTCCACAAAGACAGACAGAAAGCATTCCTCTTGAGAATGGGAATCAGACAAGGATGTCCTTTTTCACCACTCTTATTCAACATTGTACTGGAAGTCCTAGCTAGTGCAATGAGGGAAGGAAACAAAGGACATTAAAATTGGTTGGCAAGGAAGAAGTAAAACTATCCCTATTCACAGATGATATAATACTACATATAGAAATTCCAAAAATTCAAATAGAAAGCTGCTAGAACTAATAAAAGGATTTAGCAAAGTAGAAGGATTCAAAATCAAGATACAAAAAACAGCTGGATTCCTCTATACTAACAAAGAGCACTTCAGCAAGAAAATCGGGAAAATAATACCAATTACAATAGCCCGCCAAAAGATAAAGTACTTAGGATTAAATATAACCAGGGATGTAAAATACTTATACCAAGAAAACTATAAAACAGTACTACAAAAAACAAAAAGAGACCTACATAAATGGAAAAACATACCATGCTCATGGATAAACACCTCTCTGGTCTTCTTCGCTTTCAGCCAAGATCCATCTGACATCAGCAATGATGTCCCTCATACTTTTCTGAATCTGGCTTGAATGTCTGGCAGTTCCCTGCCAATATACTGCTACAACCATTTTTAAATTATTTTTGGCTAAAATAATGCTAGGGACAATGCTATGGGCCCTAATATATGGCGTAAATAGGATATCAATGTAACTAAAAATGCACAAACAGTCAAGGATGAACCAGATAAATGGGACTTCCTAAAAGTTTAACACTTATGCTCATCAACTGCTTTACCAAAAGAGTGAAAAGAGAACCTACAGGTTGGGAAAAGTTTTTTGGCACCAACATATCTAATGAAAGACTATTTTCTAAAATTTATAAAGAAACTTTGACACCTCACCAAGAAAAAGACAAACAATCAAATTAAAAAATAGTCAAAGGACATAAACAGACACATCACCAAAGAAGACATCAGGAGGCCAACATGAAGAAGTTCTTGTGATTATTAGCCATTAAAACCCCCTGCTATTGAGCTGATTGCAACTCATGGTGACCCCCATTGGGTTTCCAAGGTGGTAAATCTTTATGGAAGTAGATTGCCCCATCTTCCTTCCATGGAGTGGCTGGTGGGCTTGAATCGCCAACCTTCTGGTTAGC